CCCCAAAACCCCAAAACCCCAAAACCCCAAAACCCCATAAGGCTAAAATCTTAGTTAAATTTGAGTAAAGAAGAAATATTATGATTGATTTTTATAATATGTGATGTTCTGATTCAGTTTTGTTGAACTTCTTCTTTATGGTACTTGAAGGGAACTACGAACTTTGACCATCCTGGCATTTGTCTTGGAACACCAATTGAAACAAGCTCAGCAAGCCAGACGATATTCTTAATTTCCATCTCTCTAAGCTTAAGATAGGCATAGAACACACCATAATGGAACTGGTTTTCAAATGCCATTGAATATCTCTTTGATTTTTCAGTGAACATAACATCATCTAATAAATGAATTGAGTCAAATTATGATATACTTACCGATTGACATAGTTGAAGCGTATTGGTTGGCACCACCATCATTTTTTCCACCGAAATCTCCACCTTATTTGCTTGATGGTATGTCTGAAACCTATTAAAGCATTCTTTCATATTCGAATCCTTTGCAAGCATCCTTCAACTTATCAAAGTTGTCAGCCTCAGTAAGCTCTCTATCTCTATCTGGGTATAAATAACCTATAATTGAAATGAGATTTATAAATAATTTACCTAAGTTGTTAATATACTTTCTTCTCTCGCCCTCTCTACCTCTTGCATCAGATAGTCCCTTGATATCGATTGAGTTGAAAATAATTTGGATGGTCATACAATCTGACTCGAACTTAAGTAGATCGTCCATAACTTGTCTGCTAACGTCTGGTAGTTGCATACAATATCTGTGGAACTCTCCGATCCAGATTTTCTTAAGCATGTTCTTGATCTTCTCTGCCTTGTAGTCTTTCATTAAATCAGAGATGAATCTGGCGTCCTTCTTAATTGCGCCATCATTTCCGATAGATCCAATGCACACCTCCAAGAACTTTCTGAAGTAATTTCCAATTGGAAGATCGACCAAGACTTATTGATAGAGAGTAGCGTAATCATCACCTTCAACAGTTCTGATGTTTTTCAATTCAGGGAAGTAACCTAGAGGGTCAAGACCCTTTAACAGAAGCTCAAGTGGTTGATCATTCTTAACTCCCTCAATAACTCCGACGACATTTTCAATCTGATATCCATGAAGCATCATTTGTAAGAACCCTGTCAATGGTTGAGTACTTTGGCCAATGAGATGAGTGATTTCGCTCATAAGCTTTTCCTTGCATTTCTTTTTGAGAACAACAATTTCAATTGGATTAGCCTCGTTAACAATATAGGAGCCATAATCAGTATCCTCGAGAACCAATTTGAATTCATTGAGGTTGCTGCAGGCTTTCAATTAGTTGTAAGTTTCTTCCTTCAAGAATCCCTTTCTTAGTGATCTGATAATGGCTTCTGGGTAACCATCATCAGCATTGAAGCTAACCATTTCTAAACCAAGCATCTTTATTTTCTATCTTATATATAATATTATTAATATTTGCTTTACTTATTAATTTAGATATACTACCCGATGGGGTTTTGGGGTTTTGGGGTTTTGGGG